GCCGATGTGGGCGGATCACGAAGTCAGGAGATCGAGACCATCCTGGCTAACACGATGAAACCCCGTCTCTACTAAAAATACAAAAAATTAGCCGGGCGTGGTGGTGGGCGCCTGTAGTCCCAGCTACTTGGGAGGCTGAAGCAGGAGAATGGCGTGAACGGGGAGGCGGAGCTTGCAGTGAGCCGAGATTGCGCCACTGGACTCCAGCCTCGGCGACAGAGCGAGACTCCGTCTCAAAAAAAAAAAAAAAAAAAAAAAAAAAAACAGTCCATAATATAAACATCTAAAGTGCACTATTTTACCTGCCGTACTCACTCTGGGCATGAAAATTCCATTGCCACTTCTAACCTGTGAATCTATGCAGTCCCAAGTATTAGGACAGAATAGATAAAGAGGTAACTTCCTATAGCAGTAGTAGTTTCTCCCTAAGCCCACTAGAGACAAGTGTCCTGAGTATTTTCTGAATTCCTATGACAATTTTTTTTATTTCATTGACATCACCCAACTTTAAACACAATAGATCATACCGTTTTTGGTTTCAACCATGTTCTACCCTTCTGCACTTCAGGCTCAGGAAATATGTTGTACCTGCAGTATATTAGCCTCTGACTCAAAAATATAGAACTTTTTAAATACAAAGTAGTGATAAAATGTATATGGGCATCTTGATATACTGAGTTAGTTCCTTTTCCCTAGAAGTGTTCAGGAGGAAGCTTGATACCTTATTGTAAATGCTTTATGGAAGGAATTTGATATTTGTGGGTGCTCACAAATTTGAACACTTGTGATTGTATAAATGTCTTTCTTTTTATTAAACCAGTATAGACAGAGTTGTGATGTGTAGTTCACAATCAGCAATGGCAGAATTGAGCTGTTAGGAAAAGGAGGAGCCAAATTGAAGATTTCAGGGAGTTTATCAGTCTATGGTCAAAAGCACAGGAAAGAAGTATGAAAATCAGATGCATTAGATTAGAATGCATAGAGATAGTCAGGTTTACACCTTAGAAAATGCATGGCTGGAAAGGAAGATAATCTGAAAAGGAAAGACTATTGGTCCGTAATCACCTGAATTAATCTATACTCTACCTAGTTCTGGCACAAAAGACAATGTCTTGGTAGTCGTAGCTCCTGTTCACTAGAAAACATAGGAACCCACAAACTTAGATATGATGTATATTATTCCCACAACATTCAGGTACTTTCCTATTTGATATCTATACTTACTCAGTTAAATCAAGATTTGACTGAATAAGTAATCAGGCCAGGCCCTCAATTTATCCTTTGTTTTCTGAAATAATTTTGCCATGCCATAACTTTCTCATGGCATTTTTCACTTCTGCATTTCTCAGTGTGTAGATGAGTGGATTGAGAAAGGGTGTTCCAATAGTATAAAATACCGCCACCGTCTTATCCATGGGGAAAGTGGTTGGGAGGTGTGTATATATGAATATGCACGGGCCAAAGAATAAGATGACTACAATTATGTGAGAAGTGCAAGTGGAGAGAGCCTTTTTCCTCCCTTCTGCACTGCGGTTTCTCAGTGAATGCAAGATGACAATATATGAAATGATCAAAATCATGAAACCAGTTGAGCAAACTGCCCCACTGTTAGACACCAGCAGCAGGTTGATCATGTAAGTGTCCATGCAGGCAAGTTTCAACAAGGGCTGCAAATCATAGCAATAATGATCAATCAAATAGGGTCCACAGAAAGGCAACCTTAAGGCCAGGATAATCTGAGCCGTAGAGTGTATAAAAGACCCTATCCAGGCAAGAACAATCAGGATGATGCAGACCTGCCGGCTCATGATGGTTGGGTAACGCAAGAGCTTACAGATGGCCACATAGCGATCAACAGCCATGAGGATGAGGACAAAGATCTCCATGCAGCCAAATAAATGTAGCCCAAAGACTTGTGTCATGCACTCATTGTAGGATATAATTTTCTTTGCAGAGAGAGCATCCACAATTAATCTAGGGGCTGTGGAAGTTGAAAAGCAAGAATCAGCAATAGACAAATAAAATAGGAAGAAGAACATGGGGCTTCCTAGTGTCCGGCTGGACTTGATGGTCACAAAAATGAGTGTATTCCCCACTACAGTTCCCATATAGAAAATTAAGAATATTACAAACACTATTTTCTGCCTCAAGGGATCCTGTGTTAATCCTAACAGTATGAATTCAGTCACACTGTGATTTTGCTGCATTGTTTCAGTTGATGTGAAGAAACCACAGATAGGAAATAGTTAATCTGCAAAGGAAGAAAAAAAGGAAATAAACGCTCAATTTGGAGGTCAAATACATATTCTTAGCAATGAAATTGCAACTTTCCAATGGGTTATTATTGACAAATCTGTGTATTTTTTCTTAGTAAAATGAATTCATAGTAACTATCCAATATATTTACCAAATTACTTTTTTTTTTTTGGAGACAGAGTGTCACACTCTCCTCTAGGCTGGGCTGCAGTGGCATGACAGAATTACACATAAAAATAATACAATGAGAAATAGAAAAATAATTTAAAAACAAATGATTTTTCAAACAAAGTAAACATTAGTTTAGAGGGTTGGTATGAGTAGGTATCTTTCTGAGCTGAATATGTTTCTTTAGCTTATAGCCAGGAATAATAAATATTTTGTACTCTGTTGCAATAACAGAAGAAAATGTACATTACTTACTTCAATAGGCTTTCACATTTGAACCTGATAGTACCATTATAATTATTTACTTAGTAAATATACTGATCATTCTAATAATGATTATTTAAATACTTCAGAATACCTTCCTTAATAAAATTTACATGTATGTGGGCGAGCACGTGTATGCACACGCGTGCACACACACACAGAGAATAAACATAAAATTTTTGCACTGAGCAAAATGTCAGTCATTCCAGCCCAACATGAGAATTATTTTAACCTCTTGCCTTGACTATCTTTATTTCCTTTTAATTTACCTCTGAAAATTTTCTAATTCTTTTCAGCTCCAAATTCATCCTTTATTATTCAACTTTGCACTGCTTTGTTATACTGTGTTGTCCAAAGTTAAATTCTTCCCTCTTTCATTATTCTTCTGGGTTCTTCAAAAAGTTTTCTTAAGAGACAAGTAGATACTGAGACTAAAATGAGGAAAAAAGTGGAAGAATACTTGACATATATATCAGGACATTCTTTCAAATTTCAGTTTTACAGGAAAGCATCAGTGACTTAGAAAATGAGATCTATGCGCTCCGAGTCAGGACTGAAACTTTCAATAGAATTTTTAGTTTGTATGTTCTTGAGAATCCCATATCCTGACTGCAAGAAAGAGAAGTTATATATAGAGAATTAATATTTATTTGCATATATCAAATATTGAACAAATTGTTCCATATACCTTTTCACATATATATTCCACATGGTAACACAGTAAAAAATTAAAAGGGAAGTGCCTATATGATAAAATACATTTACAACACATATGCCAGACAAAAGCATAACTTTTTCAAATGTAAATGGATTTCATAGATAAGTTTCTGAAAAACATGACACAAATGAACATTAGGAAAACAACCCATCTTAAAAGAGATTTTTCTCCTTATGATAAAGAGTATGCCTCTGGAAAGATGCTCAATTTCATTCACAGTTAAATACATTCAAATTAAAATTCCAGTTAGGTAATTTTCACCTATAAGGCTAATAAAGTAATCCTTTTGCTGAATGTCTTAACAAATAGTCTTGACGAAGGTGTGGGACACAGTCAACCCTACAAACTTTTGGTGGGAATGTAAGTGGGTACAACCTTCTAGGAAGTGACTTCAGTATCTATAATATGACAACTGCATATAGAAATTGATCCAGTTATTCTGTTTCCTATAGACACACTCATTCATAGAAAGAAGGACAATCATTTTGCCTTAGATGGTAGCAAGAGATAGGAAACAACTTTATGCCCCTCGGAAGGGACATTAAAGAATCAAGGATGATATTTTTATGCAACCATTAATTAGAATGAAGCAGATACATATATCTGTGTGTTTATATATGCACACACACACACAGAAAATGGCCCCTGACATATGGTGTAAATTGAAATGTAAGAGATTAATACTGCATGCTTAGAATTGTAACATTTTCCTTAACATCAGTTACAGTCATTACTACACACACCTCCATATTTAAATACATGGATTATAGTAGAAGAGTATGAAAAAACTATAATGACTCTGAGTGGGGAAATTGCATTCTTGGCATTAGAGATGGGAGAAAGACCTACTTTAAAAAATATTCACTTTGGTAATATTTGACAATGTGTCATAATAATGCTACATCAAAAATAATGCTTTAAAAGCTTTACCTTGGGAGATGGGTTGTTATTCACCTTGTGATGGCATATCACTGAGCCATCACAACTGCCTTCCGTTGTAGTCAGGAATTCTAGTGGTATTCTTAGGGCTACATTAAGCTTCACAAATTTGAGTAAGTCAGATATAGCAGTAGTGTTGAAACTCAGTGCTCTGTAAATACAACATATGCAGACACACTGTCACTAACTGGAGATTCACTTCCTGTATTGAAAGTTTGTGAAAGCTCCTTAGCAAACAGAAATAAAAAATTGTATTTGTCTTCTCTTAAGTATTATAAAAAGACACACACACACACACACACACACACGTATCTCCAGAATAGATGAATAAGCAGGACTAAATAGATATAAATAGACATCATTACACATTTTTATAGTACTATATATTAGAATGAAGCAACATAAGAAAGAGTATCTTTATCTGTTCACTGCTAAATTTCAGTATTTATGAAAAAGTAGGTTTTTGATAAATATCTGTTGAATGAATCAAAGAATTAAAAGAAATTCCTATAGATCCAAATCATTAATGTTTTATACTATTTTATACTTAGTTGCCATTAAGGAGAAGGAAGACAGCATCCTACCATGAGAGACATCATCACCTTCATGGAGCACTTCCTGGAACACCCCAATAGATTTTATTTCTGTTTGTTTATTTATTCATTTTATTACCGCTCCTTGCAGAGCGGGGCTACCCTTAGGCAGTTTGTCCAGAGTAGCCTGTTTCTGTTTAATTATCTCCTACCCACGTCTACCAACAGCTCTTACCTGGTAGTGCCCATTTCCATCAAGATATGCTGTGCATGATTTTTATTCCCGTCTTTTCACTTTAGATTGTAAAGCACTTCTAGAAAAGTCCATGAATTTCCCCACCTTCCACCAGTGCACCCAGCTTATTCACCAACCCATGTATTTCTTCCTCAATTACCTCTCACTCTCTGACCTTTGCTACACATCCAGTGACCCCCAAATTAATGGCTGACTTACTGATAGACCATTTCTTATAATAACTGCATGATACAACTCTTTACTACCCATTTTTTCGGAGGCATAGAGATCTTCATTCTCACAGGGATGGCCTATGACCGCTATGTGGCCATCTGCAAGCCCCTGAACTACACCATCATCATGAGCAGGAAAAGGTGTAACACAATCATCATAGTCTGTTGTACTGGGGGGTTTATACACTCTGCCAGTCAGTTTCTTCTCACCATCTTTGTACCGTTTTGTGGCCCAAATGAGATAGATCACTACTTCTGTGATGTGTATCCTTTGCTGAAATTGGCTTGTTCTAATATACACATGATAGGTCTCTTAGTCATTGCTAATTTGGGCTTAATTGCTTTGGTGACATTTGTTGTCTTGATGTTGTCTTACGTTTTTATATTGTATACCATCAGAGCATATTCTGCAGAGAGCGGCAGCAAAGCTCTTTCCACTTGCAGTTCTCCTGTAATGGTTGTAGTCCTGTTTTTTGCACCTGCATTATTCATTTCCATTAGACCGGTCACAACGTTCTCAGAAGATAAAGTGTTTGCCCTTTTTTATACTATCACTGCTCCCACGTTCAACCCTCTCATTTACACTCTGAGAAACAGGGAGATGAAGAACACCATGAGGAAAGTGTGGTGTTGTCAAATACTCCTGAAAGGAAATGAACTTTTCTGAATTGTTTCTGCTTTTCATGCCATGGTTCCCTGAGACCACACTGATGAGTGAGAAAGATTCACTCTCATCATGCTCTTGTCCTTGTTGTTTGGAGGGAAAAGTGAGCAAACAGGAAGCATATCCCTTCTGGGATTTTATACTTCTGTATTGACGTCTCTTTTTTTTTTTTTTTTTTGAGACAGAGTCTCGCTCTGTCGCCCAGGCTGGAGTGCAGTGGCCGGATCTCAGCTCACTGCAAGCTCCGCCTCCCAGGTTCACACCATTGTCCTGCCTCAGCCTCCCAAGTAGCTGGGACTACAGGCATTGACGTCTCTTTAACCAGTTGAACATTATTCTTGTCCATACTCTCCTCCGCCTTTCTTAATCATTACGATTGTGCTCATGTGATATGAAATAACCAGAAAATTTCTTTAAAATACGGATTACATGGCATTGTGTTGAAAAAATAAAATAGACTATGCATTTTCATGCCTTAAACTGCCAAGAAAATGAATGAAATATTACCTTCAACTTTTTTCATTTGTGCTGAAGTCTAAACAAAAAAATGCATATATTGCCTGTGTACAGCTCATGGACTTTTGCAGATTGAGCATGATCGTGTAATCAGCAACTGGATTAAGAGACAGAAGTATCAGCACATCAGAGGTCCTCCTTATTCCTGTTTATTATTAATACCTCCCAAAGTTAACCACAGTATTTATTTCTAAATATTGTAGTATTGTAATCCCAGCACTTTGGGAGGCTGAGGTGGGTGGATCACGAGATCAGGAGTTCGAGACCAGCCTGACCAAGATGATGAAACCCTGTCTCTTCTAAAATTACAAAAATTAGCCGGGCGCAGTGGGAATGCCTTTAATCCCAGCTACTCGGGAGGCTGAGGCAGGAGAATAGCTTGAACCGGGGAGGCGGAGGTTGCAGTGACCTGACATCATGCCACTGCACTCTAGCTTGGGTGACAGAGCAAGACTCCATCTCAAATGATAATAATAATAATAATGTTTTTATCTGTTCCTGTACTTTGAAGAACAAGAGTGATACAGATTTTGCTGCTGAATGTGTGCCTTCTCAGTATTTCAGTTGTGAGTCATTTCTCATGTTGGCAAGTTTTCTGATTGTTTTCATTAATGTATACAGTATCTTATCATGTGAATATATAATGATTAATTTATCCATTCCCTTGTTGCCAGGCATTTGGGTGGTTTCCCATTTAGGGTTATTATGTATAGTGCTGCTTTGAACATTTTGAAACGTATTTTTTAGTGAATATATGTCTTTTATTATTTCATTATGCTTTATAATGTAATTAAAACAATTTTAAGAAAGTAGTACTATATTTGTATTAATATCTTTCATAATATATTACTGATATAAATGAAAGATATTAATTGAAAAAATAATTATCCATAGAAAAACACTAAGTGAAATAAAAGATTTAGAAATAAATATGTGAAATAGCTTACACTTCTAGGATCCACACAGTGGGATATGAGATAAGCTGATTAATGCAAACCTGTCTGTCAATCACAGGAAAAAAGGATGAATGCTCTTAGAATGGTAGTTTACACAATGAAGCTTAGAAAAACTTCCAGGGATGCAGCATTAGATTATGATAGCAAGATTAACACAGAAGTATCACCACTGAAAAATGTTATCAAATAGAATATTCATTGTAGCATATGAAGTCACTTGCCATATTAAATGAAACTGGAAAAATTCTGTATTTAGCTTCTAAGAAGGAAAAATAATGTACTTCACTGAACTCCCAATAAGGGCAGTGATGCCAAATGAAGAAGGCATGCTATGAGTTTATGCTAACACTGGACTGTCACACACACACTCAGACACATACACACGTGTGTGCAGACATTTAATGCAAAAAATAAAGTCTTTTCAGGAATTTATATTTAAGGCATAGTTGAAATAAATCTGCTCATATAGAAAACCAAAAATTAAAAGAAGAAAAAATTTGCTCGAGAGCAAATGATCACACAATAAAAATGACTGAATATAGGAAATTAGGTTGGAAACAGCTACGCCAGAGCACAGCATACAAGCGTACAAAGACGGGGTTTATTGTAGTTAATGGACACAAAACATAATATAAATCTTTATTGTATAAAATAGAAAATGATTTTAAAGTTAAATTACATTTAGTTTAAAAATTTTCTGGGCTGTTAGATAACAAAATAACTTCAATAAATAAATAAAATGATATTTTTATTAGAAACTCAGTGGATAAAACATAGTGTTTCCTAACTAATCAGTGAATTCCAGATATCAACAAATTTACTCAAAACAAAGAAGAGAGAGACAAAGATATGGAAAAAGTTAAAGGGATATTAACAAACCTTAGAAATGGAATAAAAAGGAGCAACATATGTCTACCAGACTTCAGGATTTATAAAATAGTGAGAAAATACATTTAAAGAGATAATAATTGACAATTTCCAGAACTATGAGAAATATTTAGAAAAAAAATTACAACAAAAAGAGTTGCTCTCTAAAAGAGCCCTACAAAATATTACTTCTAATTAATAATAATTTGAAACACAGGGCCGGGTGCGGTGACTCACGCCTGCAATCCCAGCACTTTGGGAGGCCAACGCGGGCGGATGACCTGAGGTTCGGAGTTAGAGACCAGCCTGACCAACATGGAGAAACCCCATCTCTACTGAAACTGCAAAATTCACTGGGTGTGGTGGTGCGTGCCTGTAACCCCAGCTACTCGGGAAGCTGAGGCAGGAGAATCGCTTCAACCTGAGAGATGGAGGTTGCAGTGAGCGGAGATCACACCATTGCACTCCAGTCTGGACAACAAGAGCCAAACTCCATCTCAAATAAATAAATAAATAAAATAATTCAAAACACAGAAAGACTACAAGCCAGAAGAAAATAGAATTACATTTTAAAAATGCCAAATGTAAAATATTATCCTTGAATTCTGTAGTTTTTCAAGAAAAGTGAAGTGGGGAGTCTTCAGTAGAATAAAACAAAATAAACCACAATTTAAAAATGACCAAGAATTTACTATACAGACACACTCACTTAAAGTAGTTGTAAATATTAATTTTTATTAAGAGGAAAGATGTTCCAAGAAGGAAAATTTAAAATCCAGGAAGGAATAGTGAATCAGGAAAATACTAACCTTATTTGTAAACTGAGATATTGTGTTAAAAATATTAAACATGTCTAATATATAGAAGATGAAAAATAGAAGAACGAAAAATGGAGACCACAACATCATGTAAATTGAAAAGAAGTATTGCTTAGTAGGAGAGAAAAGATACTGATTAAATTCAGACTTGGTAATAATAATGTACAGATATGATTTTTTGAGTAATTACTAAAATTGCGGGAGAGGAAAAGAGACAAAGAAATGTATTATTATTATTTTTTGAGACAGACTCTCGCTCTATCACCAGGCTGGAGTGCAGTGGTGCAATCTGGGTACATTGCAACCTCTGCCTCCCGGGTTCAAGCGATTCTCCTGCCTCAGCCTCCTGAGTAGCTGGGACTACAGGCGTGCACCACCACACCCAGCTAATTTTTGTATTTTCAGTAGAGACAGGGTTTCACCATATTGGCCAGGCTGGTTTTGAACTCCTGACCTTATGATCTGCCTGCCTCGGCCTCCCAAAGTGCTGGGATTACAGGCATGACCCACCGCACCCTGCCAGGGATGGATTTTTAAAAAGAAACAATATCATTCCAAATAAAAGGCAAGAAAATAGGAAGGAAACATAAAAATTGGGCAGAAACAAAAATAAAAGCAAAAAATGATCATACAAGCCAATTAAAATATACAAGTTAAAACAAAATTAACAAAATGAAGTAAATTCTTCAACAGAATAATGAAAATTATCATAAAGGTTTAAAATACAGTTTGTCAAATGTGCTTTCACAGAAGATGCACCTAAACCATTGATTACACATACACACGAAAGTGAAACTGAAAGCATGAAAAGGATAAAGCAGGCAAATATATTAGCATTCGAAGCAATATTGATTATTATGTTTTAAATAATTAAATATTAATCGAATTTGCAAGATAGAAACATTTACAAATTCTAACTTCGCATGGATGGAGAAGGATAGACAGAATTTGATCCAAAACCATCAAATGATCCAAAGCAGCATTAACAGACATATATAGAACAGTATAGTCAACAAATCAAAGGAATTTATCATATTTTATAGTTAATTCTTCCACAGAATAATTCATTATAATTAACCTGCCACAAATAAATTCTTCATCAGCATCGAATAATCCACACCCCAATCTAGATCTGGGTTTTATACCCTTTACAAAAATTACCTTAAAATAGATAATTTTACTCATCTAAATAACTGAGTAGCAGAATAGGGATTCCACAAAGATGCTCGCATCTTAGTCCTTAGAACTTATCAATATATTTTGTTACAGGATAAGGTGATAAAGGTTGTAGATAAAAATTAAGTTTGCCAATAAGTGGACCTTAAAACAAAGATGTAATCTTGCACTATCCATGTGGGCTCAATGTATTCACAAGGTTTATTTAAAGTGGGAAAGTGAAGCAGAAGTTAGATTTGACGATGCTACACTGCCCGCTTTAGAGAGGAAGGAAAGGGGTCATAAGGAAGCAGGTAGATTCTAGAAGCTGGAAGAATTAAGGGAATGAGTTTTCCCCTACAGACTTCAGAAGGATTTATCCATTACAATGCCTTGATTTTAGCCCAGTGAGCCTCATTTTGGACTTCTCACCTGCAGAAATGTGAAATACTGACTTTGTATTGATTTAAGTCACTAAGCTTGTGGTAATTTGTTGCAGTAGCAACAGGAAACTAACACACTAGCTTAATCATGATGAATGTTTCCACAAACCTGTGCATAACTTTTTTACTTCCTGCTCTTAATGTTTCACTCATTTCTTCTGCTAACTCCAGATAGTGAAAATGTAAGCAGGATCTCTTTGACATTTTGGATGTTGTTTGAAATAAAGAAAAATGTGAGATAAGGTAAGAAGAGTAAAGTAAAAAGTCAAGCATGGGGAAAGAAACTAATAGGAATAGGAAGAGAAAAAGCAAGATTATTATTAGTTTTCATGAGTCAACCTTAAGGATTTACAATATAAAAGTAAATGAATTAAATTCAACCCATACTTACTCCAAGCATAGGCCAAACATGAACCTTATCCCACCTATTTCTCCATAAATCAGCATAGAATCAATTAAGAAGAAAAGCAATGTTCCCAAATAGCACAATCAAATATACTATTTTGTATTAAAATATAGCTTTCAAGAAAGAACAATTACAATTCAATAAATAACATAAAACAGATATCTTAATATGTTATATCAAATATGGACTATTTAATGCATATAATAAAGCATATTAATTCAAAAAACAAGGTTTAGAATGATAAAATTATTACTTCTCTTTGCTGAATTGCTTTGGATTAGGGCCACAGTCATTAATATGAGAATTGATCGGTTTTTGTATTTAGCAATAATTTTTAAAATTTAATTTTAAAACATTGAACAGACACTAGAATTAAAGTTCATTGGTAGGGTTGCAATTTGGTTTTGACTATGGAGGAAGACTTTGGGGAAAAGCTGTCTCCGAGGTCATTTATCATTTTGCATCTTCCTCTTTAAATAGACCTATAAGAATAGAGAAAAGAGCATTTATTGCCAGAGACCCTGTGAAATGCCAGATATCATTAGGCGAGAAAACCAGGAACAACAAAGACTCATTTCTACCAGCCTTTCAGTTTGTGGGGTCAGGTATTTTCTGGTACTAATTATTCACAAAGGAATTCCTCAGGCATCACTGTTACTTTGCTTTGGGCAGCTGCACCCAAATTAACTCAAGAAGAGATAGAAACATAAAGTGAACTCAAGCTCAGGAAAATACTGGTGAGTTTTTTTTTTTTTAAACTAATACAGAATATTTGTGGAAAAAGATAATTGAATTGTTAGATTTTGAACATTTGCAATATAATTGATAGAGATTGTTCTTTGAAATACAGAGATAACCAAATTATTAAAACGATGATAGTGGAGATAATAACATGCACCTAAACATGACTATGAGGTAGGGTAGGATGGATATGAATAAGAAAATGTCAATAATTTCAAAGGAAAGTGAGTCATTATGCCCAAAATACTCAGTAAAAAGAGGAAGGCATCCTTGCGATGGATATTGGCTTAAGGAGATAAACAGCAAGATGCTACTGCATCAGTCGGAGTCAAGAGAGGTCATGATTCAGGTTAGCAGCCTTTACTAGGATGCACATTCTGATAAATGGAACTTTAAATCTCAATCCTGCAATCAAGATAGATTAGTCCCTTAATAAAATATCTTGGTGAATGAAAAAATTTCCTCTAAAACATTGTGATATGGACAGTAGAGGAAAAATCCTCAGGCTTGTGCGCAAAAGCCCAGTTTCTTGTAGATGAGAGCCAAGCGACATAAATAATTGTTGCCCAAAACTGCTATGATATGAGCTTCCTTAAGTTGAGGGGTTCTCTTAGTGGAGGATAGTATATTTCTTTTAATTCAGCAGGAAAACTGAAGAGGAATGAGTATGTAAAAGCAGGGAATGTGCGTCAGTCTGTACCTAAATCATATTATCACTATTATGTTTATAATCATTATTTTGTAATGCACAAGAGATGGCATGCCTGTAATGACTACTGTGCCAACTCTAACATGAATACCTGAAGAAACACAGCCTTGTAGTTTCCCAAAAGCTGGAAGTGTTAGCCACAATGTCACTGCACAGGGATAACCGAGAGCACAGAGTTCATTAGGTGTTGTCAGCATTCAGCTGGGCGGATCTTGAGAGGATCTACAGGTCTCTGGTAGACAACCTGTAATTGGAGGAATCACTTACATCTATAGTTGATTGGAGAAAAAGTCCTAAAAGCTCCTTTAATCAAAACTATTCCACATGCCCTTTTCCATCCAAACATACCAACGACCCCATTATAGTGCCTGAAATTTCACCACTGAACATTCATCTATTTAAATAAATGTTGCGATTTTCCTAAACCCATCAAAATTATCATTCAGTGATGATCTCTTCCAGAACTATAAATCGACCAAACTGGGAGAATGAATACAGCCCGAATAAAACTTGCAAGATTAGAAAGATGTATGAAGCAATGTTGACATTAATGGACAGTCTTCTCTTTTTTACACCCATTTTCTTTGTTTCAGTTGATAGACAAATGTTTAAAATACAAAGCAAAGTCAATCCTGGAAAATCCTAAAGTATTCTGACTTTGTACATGGAGAAATTACATAAGACTTCACTCCACCTCCTTTCAAATCAAACAGGTCTTGCTTTCTCTCTAAAAGTTTCTTTTATTGCTTTACCTTCTCTCTGACTTCCTATCAGGGTTTTATGAATATTTCATACTGACAGAAGTGATTTAATTTCATGGTTGAAATAACCATTAATATGATATGTAGTAGTGAAATTGAAACTGTCATTTCACAAATGGGATAAGAGAATTTCTGTTAAGTTAAATAATTTACCTGGGGTTACAGCACTGTCATTTTAGAATCAAGTTTGTGTAATTTTGCTCTTCTATTACGTCACACTGCATCTTGACTATCAGGGCTCGAGACCACATTGGCGGAGGTGCAGACATCATGTGCACAAAGATAGAGTTTCATGAGAACTTACAAAGCCCATGAGTGGATATACTTGCAGAGAAATTGCAGAGTATTTGTGAGTGGATGTGATAATCAGGCATGGCAATAGTCAAAAGGTGAAATGTGGATATGTTTCCACTTATGGGTCTAAAATAAAGCAAACATTTCCAAATGTTTGCCGGTAGATAACATAGATGTGACCATATCCCAAAATACAGAAGTTGTTTCAAAACTCAATGTCTTGTACAAAATTAAAACTAAATAACATTTAGAAACAGCTAAATAAACATTAATAAAAGGTGAGAGAAGAGAGGCATATGGTAACATATATATGAGACTGGGGGTTTTACTTTCTCTCTCTGGATTTTGCTTTCTCACCTGAAGTGAATGAATGTGATTTAATCTTGAGGTAAGATGATCAAAATAGATGCACTTAGATTTCGTTAAGCATCCATGCCAATCAGCATTTTTTCCCATTTTCAACTACTGTGATTTTCCGTTGGTTCTGTGCTAGAAATAGAAGAAATATGTTTTCTTTTTTTTCAGGTAATTTAATTGTCTCCTAAGAACTTGACCCGTTCCATGGAAAAAATAAACAACGTAACTGAATTCATTTTCTGGGGTCTTTCTCAGAGCCCAGAGATTGAGAAAGTTTGTTTCGTGGTGTTTTCTGTCTTCTACATAATCATTCTTCTGGGAAATCTCCTCATCATGCTGACAGTTTGCCTGAACAATCTGTTTAAGTCACCCATGTATTTCTTTCTCAGCTTCTTGTCTTTGGTGGACATTTGTTACTCTTCAGTCACAGCTCCCAAGATGATTGTTGACCTGTTAGCAAAGGACAAAACCATCTCCTATGTGGGGTGCATGTTGCAGCTCTTTGGAGTACATTTCTTTGGTTGCACTGAGATCTTCATCCTCACTGTGATGGCCTATGATCGCTATGTGGCTATCTGTAAACCCCTACATTATACGACCATCATGGACCAGGAGAGATGCAATAAGATGTTATTAGGGACATGGGTAGGTGGGTTCTTACACTCCATTATCCAAGTGGCTCTGGTAGTCCAGCTACCCTTTTGTGGACCCAATGAGATAGATCACTACTTTTGTGATGTTCACCCCGTGTTGAAACTTGCCTGCACAGACACGTACATTGTTGGTGTTGTTGTGACAGTCAACAGTGGTACCATTGCTCTGGGGAGTTTTGTTATCTTGCTAATCTCCTACAGCATCATCCTGGTTTCCCTGAGAAAGCAGTCAGCAGAAGGCAGGCGCAAAGCCCTCTCCACCTGTGGCTCCCACATTGCCGTGGTCATTATCTTTTTCGGCCCCTGTACGTTTATGTACATGCGCCCTGATACTACCTTTTCAGAGGATAAGATGGTGGCTGTATTTTACACCATTATCACTCCCATGTTAAATCCTCTGATTTATACGCTGAGAAATGCAGAGGTAAAGAATGCGATGAAGAAACTTTGGGGCAGAAATGTTTTCTTGGAGGCTAAAGGGAAAAAGGTGGACTTAATAATTTAAGCTAGATGATCTTAAGATTTCTCAGCGTTGCTTAACTCATCTGTGCAATGAAGGCAATAATAACAACCTCATGGGATTTGGAGTGGAAAAATGAGAGAATAACACATTCAAAAGAGTAAGGTATTATTTGTCATTATTATCGCATTTTTCTAATATTTCATAATTAGATAACTTCCTGAAATATCTATGACAAAGAAACATTGTTAAACATAGAATCACAAACATGCAGAAGAGCAATTCCTCCTGGCTTTCCATTGGGGACCGGCTTCGATTACCCTATCTTGCCATTCACTGGTCTTGCCATCATATCCCTGAAAGCAGAAACTCACCCTATGTTTAAAGTGGAGAAAATAAATTTTAAAAAATTTAGCCTTTCCAAATGTGTGAGCAGTGTTTGCATATTTATGGGCTTCATTTTTGAGGTGTCAGGCACTATAGTATGACTCATATATTTCCTCCTAAAAAAAAAAAATCCTCTACCCTGCTGCTGAGGCTATGTATAGAGCAGTGGGGAATTGATAAGGTTGTAATGTGTGCTGGCTGCTGACATCCTGGGAGCAGCGAGAGGAAAAGGCCCCATAGTTCGCAGCGTAGACTTCACTTATCCTTGCACATGCACGTTTCATCACTGTCCCCCACATTAATTCCAGGAATTATTTAGCTCAGTCTTTCAAAAGAATAAACTCCAATCTTTTGTGAAATAATATAGAGGAATTCTTACCTGGCTGTGTAGAAAATGGCCCGTGGAAATAAAATAATTTTCATGTAATACAATGTATGTTTCACTCCTACATTCTGTAGAATCATATGCTACAAGCATTTAGCATCTCAGGAGTTTTGCAGGTGAACTAACTTGCTAGTTTTCTCCGTCCTTGCTCAGATTGGCTGTAACTTCCCCCACAACACTGAGTCAACTACCTGGTAACACTGTTCTCTATTTTTCAAAAAAATGTGTGAAAATCTTTCACCGGCCGGTATTTCCTGCCTGCTTTTTTGTCATTGTGGATTAACATATAATTTCTATTTTACTCTTATTTTAGCGACAATTCAGACGACAAAGGAAATACGTTTTTGTGGACAGTTTACTATGTTTAACAGAAATTTTATTTTTTAAAATATGCACTTACTAGCTTTTGTCATAATACAATGACAAAAGAAAAGAAGAAAGTGAAAAGTTGCATAATGTTACCATACAGATGTCTTATTTACATGAATATATAAAGGAACACATGCATATTGAACTGTCTGAAAACTCAAACAGTTCGACAATGTAAAAACTGAAAGAAAAAGCATAATAATCACTTTCCTATCTTTTCTTAGAAACACACCATTGTTAGCAGTTTCTTATGATTCCTTCCATTAAAAATAATTTTATACCTATATTCACTTATAATTTCTATTTTATATTATGTTTGTAGTCACAGAAAGGAATAGTATAAACATTGACACGTAACTTTTTCCTTTAGAGAATAATATGATCTGTCTGTCTCTCGGCGACAGCACTTACAAATGAAACCCCAGGGTCTAGTCAGATTGGACATGGATGCTGTCACCATAGCAGGTGCGCTGGAGACCATGCCAGAAAACAGTCCTCTCCCAGGGAAGGTCAAAGCGGCCGGCAGTGTGAGAGGGTGAGATGAACGAGGTAACATCCAGGGTTCGCAACTGATTGAGCATGTGGCCAGAGACTGGGAGGTAGTAATCAAGAATGTCCTTAGGATTGTGACCAGTCCTGTTTTCCGAACTAGACCTAAAGAAAAACACAACTGAGATAACTTCCTTAATGTTGCAGCAATTCCCAGAACCATAGCTGATAGAGAACATCTTCCTCTTCCAGCACCCATTTTCTCACCCTTGATTTCTTTCACCCTTGGCCAGCACTTCAGTTGGTTTGGGTTGTCTACCCTGTGGGGTGACTGAAAGCATTATCCATAAGAGTTTGATCCCTAGTTTTCTTGTTCTTATTTACTGTAGTTGCTGCAATTGTCCAGTTACAGTTATCCCTGGTGTGCAAGTGCTAAGAGAGATTCCATTACCTTCTCTGTGTTCTGGATACAATCATCTCTGTCCTAATCCATTATGACGACACTAGCCACTCATGATAACCAGAATCAACTACTCTAGCCAAAATAGTAACTATTTTTTTTTCCTACTGGTCCATTTGCATAAGGAGCACAAAATAGTGGTTCCTGCTGTGCTCCTGGAAAATATGTTTTTCTCTCTGGAAACCAGGACTTTGGTCCTCATGAATCTGAAGACTAAGAAAGTGAGTTTCTGGGAGTGCAAAAATTAGAAAACACTCTACTTTCACCCCTTGGATCTCAGAATGATGTATATGGCAGGCAAATGGGGACTCCACACCACGTAGGAGGCATTGGTTCAGCGTTCAATGCATACACTGAATCCTGAAAAGAACATCCTGTCTCCTCCAGAGCTGACTTCTAGCTAGTCCCTTGATTGAGCGTTTACCAGTCCTTTCCGCTCTTCTATGAAGCTAGATGCTTATGGGTGATGGGCTATACGGGAAGATCAGTGAATTATGAGATCATGAGAACATTTTATATCTCCTTTGCCCCAAAATAGGTACCAGGTCCTAGGCAATCTTTAATGGATATTATGTCAGTGTGTCAATCCGTCTGCAAGCTGTCAAATGTTGGTGTAGATGAAGGTACTATGGAGATGGAAGACAAATCTGCATCTACAGTGTCTATTGTTTCTGATTAGGACCAATTGCTTTCACTTTCAGGGTGGAGGAGGTTTTATATAATTAACATGCTATCAGGCACATAAATATTTTCCCAGAGACCGGCATCACATTGAGTGCTCAGGCATGGATTCTGCTACTGGCATGTTGGACACTCAGAGCGGGCAGACGGCAGATGAGCTCGTGTCGCTGAGCCCAGGCATAAAACATCCTTGCCAGTATAGACTCTCTGTTCATGGGCTCATTGTGCTATCACTGGAATATCCTTAGGGACGGACCATGTCAGAGCACAGTTCATCCTCATCGTCTGGATAGTTAAAGCCTGCTCTCTTGTACATGCTTTCAAGTTAGGTCTAACTTCAATAGGTCTATTCACGTAACTCTTTTCCAGATTACTTGGTCCAGTCTTCTGATCTTCCAGGAACTTTATCAACAAACTAGGCATTTACCACTGCCTCCAGTCAATGTATATTTATTACCCAGGACTCTTCCCCTTCTATACGAAGTTGAAACCAAGAATATTATTCAGGGTTTTGTCCACTAGCAGAAATTCTCTACGCTACATACCTTTAAGGCCACCATTTAGGGCTGGGATGTCCTTTTAGGTTAATGTCAATGTACTGTGGTGACTTGTATGTGAACCTGACCAGAATCCTTTCCTCCTCTGTCAGATGATCCCAGAGCCTTCCTGTTGAGGCCATATGTGTGACTTGAGGAAGAGGCATTGATTTAACAGAGATGAGTCATATGAGATTCAGAACTATCCATTTGTTCCTGAACCACTCTTGTCTTCTGATTTGCTCAGGCCAAGCTTTTACCAGTTCAGGCTTGTATTTGTTGAATTCAAAAGATTGTTTTATTCAAAATACTGTATTTTATTTTATTTATTTCATATGTTAACATTAAACCTTGAAAACAGTTGAATATTCATTTTTTTTTTCCTGTTCCTTTCTCTAAATTAGTGTCGAGATTATCTCTTTTTGAAAGCAGCCTTCCCATGGAATATTGGAAAAAAATTTTTTTCCTGCATTTCAGAGGGAGTACTTCAAGACATGATAAAAGGTTTTAGCATCCTAGACAATATTATTCCCTAAAGTTTCCCTTATTTTGCAAATTGAAATCAATTCCAGTGTTGCAATAAATTTAACTTTTGGTTTGTCTATTTAGCCTACACGAACAGTAAGTTAATCATCCTCGTACTCAGTAATTAGATACAAATGAGGATGTGGAGGTGCCTCAGGCACACCAAAGATGCGAGGGAAAAAGAGGAAAAATACAAATGGATGGTGGAGAGAGTGAGAGAAAACAGAACGTCATTGGTTAAAGAAGATGTGGATCACCAAGAAATACTTCTGCCCCCACCAGTGATTTAAAGTTGCCCCTCCTTATATTGGGAAACGAATTTTTCTAGCTTCCATAATACACTTATAATTTATTTGCAAGTAGTATGCAGGAAAGGAAGTATGATGTCTCAAAACAAGAGGTTCTACTCTGTGGAATACGGACATCTCCCTCCGAGAACCCTCATATTCATAGCAAGTGGTCTGAGGATTAATATGTACACCAAGAACTTAATCTCACTTTTTTCAACTTCATTTCTATTTGTTTTATTAACTCAAGTTAGTAAAATAGCACTCATTACAACATGTTTTTATTAACATAATTTTATTCTACCAAATATGTATTGAATACTTTTTATATACTAGGCTCTGTTTATCACTTTGTAAAAGTTTGATCTTTTAATCCCCATAACTATTCCATGAAGTAGGTAAAACTGAAAGAAAACTGAAACTCACAGAAGTTAAGCAGCTTGCCCAGGTTGCCCACTTATCTACCCTAAGAAAATGTTGAAAATGACAATTAATGGTCAGTATTAAATAATCAATTATGTATTAAGTAAATTAATAAATATGACAAATGAAACCACATTGGAAGACAGCTTGGGTAATAATTTATAATTAACTTTTCTGTAAAATTACCTATGTGACGGTTAAGGATGTAAATAAAAGATTCTTTCTGAACTACACTAAAACTACTCATTTAAAAGAACAGCAGTGTAAGTGAGGTTGGGACTTGAGATACATCAAATGCTGCAGTAGAAATCTCTTTCACTGATACGACTTAGCACTTATAATCAACACACCAAATGAGATGTTGAAAATGTCAGGATTTTCAACATCTATTCTATTTCAGCACCTATTCTAGAGTGCACTATTTTTCATAATATGGAATGTAGTCTCAATAAGGAGAAAACATGCAATCTTTGGTGGTTATTTGTTGTTTTTCTGTACCATATCTAAATACTTTTGCAGATGCATCCTGCCTGCCTCATAAGAACACTAATGTCAAGTTATGGAAACTGTCTCGGTGGGCTCTGAACTCTCATTTTCCTCTAAGTAGCCAGAACTTTGGCATTTTCAGCATATTTGTGTAATGTTTGGATTGTGTTATTTCTTCCCAAGTGTGTGAATATGACTCTCACTAGATTGATTGTAAAGCAAGTCCCCTAGGAGTTAATGATTGGATTGAAGCATTATTAGCAAACAAATGCAAAGTCAACACATTTTTCTGGACTATTGAGAAAAGTCATTTTCTTTTTCCTAATAGAGTTGCTGAGAGTACAGATACAGGACTCCTGCTTGTAATCTTACCATGAGTGAAAAAAGCTAACACAGAAGGAAGCAGAGCCAACAGATAATTAGAAGGAACCAGTTCTTATAATAAAATTTTAACAGCAGAATTTACCTATTTCCAGACAATTTTATCATCTTTTATTTATTTTATGTTATTGCTTTTTACATTTATTTAACTAATATAACAAGTATATGTAAATTTACTACCCATACCAAAACTTAAACTGTTACCAAAAATTAAATATATTTTTAACCTCTTTTCTATCCTGTCCCTTGTCTCACCTTAAAGGTAGCCAATATCCTGATTTTGTTAATGCATAATTCTCTTATTGCTTAAAAATAAAACCTATTAGCCTAAGATGGATATATTTTATAAAGATTTATCTGGTTTTGAATTTTAATGAATTTAACATACTATATGTAGAGTTTTAGGAATTGATTTTATTTTGTATTCAGTATTCAGCATTAAGATATTAAGTTTTATACTGGTTATTAAGTATAGTTATAGATACATTTCATTGATATACAGTATTGTTTGTGTGATTATTTCAAAATGGGTTTATCTCTTACTCTGTCAATGAATAGTTGACTTCAATGAATAGTACAAATGTGGATAATTTTGGAGTGTTTGTGAACCATCTTAGCTGTTCACACTAGGAGAGAAGGAT